GGGGGGGTCGGGTGGTCAAGGGACTCCACTTGCCCCTTCCTGCGAGCGCCCATGTATATATATATATATATGTAAATTTCTGAAAGCTCATTGTTTTAAACTGACACCTTAGTTTATAATATGAAAACTTTACTAAATTAAATAGATTTACATATTTCAACCTCCATTATATGATCATTATTATGAAACATTGATAGAACAAAAATGCCGAAACAATACAACAGAAGCATACCAAGATTGAGAGTACTGATGAGGGATAACAATTACTTTCAATAATAAATTTGTTGACAGTACTTGTATAATTTATCAAGCATTCGAATTGGAAATAACCCTTCCTGGTATAATATTGTTACGCCTCCAGTCGTTAGTTAATTTTCCGTAAATTCGTTCCGATGAAACTTTAGCGACACAAGTCCTTTCTTAAATAAAACTGGTTTATTCTTTCCGAATACAACTTTACGATACACTTAATTTCAACAGGTCGCTCTATAACAAACGCTATAATTCACGTGGCCAACAATATTTTTTCTGCATACATTCAATTACGCATTACCTCGTTGTCCTGTCACGTTGTGAGCATCTTATATATACCAGACTAACATGTATCTAGTAATCTCCCGACAATTCACGAAGGTTCGAGAAGAAGTGGCGTGATACTAGTCACGTGACCTCGCTGACGCAACAATATATTTGAATATAAGTTCCGAAACTAAATGGGAAGGCGAAATTAAATTTACTGACTTAAGTTACCGATATATGTATTTGGAATTCTGTCCTAAATCTAAAGGGATGGGGGGGGGGGGACTAAAGTAACTGTCTAATTAACACTCAGCCACCAAAAACATATAGACTAGTGGCTATTTTTGAGATCTCAAAAAACTTTTGAGTGACATGATATCACTACATAGAAAAGCATTAAAAAAACAAAGGAATATAATAAAATGTCTTCGTATGCTGCAGTCAACTGTATAAAACAAAGCCAGTATGCAGGAATAGTGTATTTTCTACCCATGAGAGACATGGCTGTAATGCTGCACGTTGTGCAAGAATGTCGCCAGCCAGTGTCCTCCAATAGTAGGCCAGATTTTAACTTGATGGTACTGCCTCCATATGTTTAAACAGTACTCGCCCGTCATGTGATTAGAGCTATTCGCTGTGGATAAATTGGAAATTTTCCATTAAGTAAGGAATGTTAGATTTAAACTTTGTTGTAGAGAATCGTGAGTGAATTAGTTATCCTTTGTTTAAAGTTTTTTCTTTTTGGTAATTTCAGAATTTGTGGTTGTTTCAGTGATGTTTGATTATAGGTCTCGTTAACAGTGAGTTAGTTTAGTGATGTTTAAGTTTCGTTGCCATCTCAACAGCTTACCTTATAGAAGTACACCAGCTTTGTCTCAGCTAAATTCGTAAGTCTTCACCCACCATGAAATGTGTAAATTGATTTCACGCCATTAAATCTACCCTTTCATATAGTGTGTCTGGATAAAGTAATTGTTCGAGTCTTTCTGCACCTGAAACATATTTGGTGTTTTTCCTTCTTACTCTGCTCCTAAACTGCTTTAGAAACTTCCTTCTAATGTGACACTCAATCTTTGTCTTATAAGGTGGGTACTTATATCTCAGTTAGAAGGTTGTTTGATGTTGTTAAGGCCGGCCCTATGAAAAGAACAACGAAATGAATAGCATATTCATGATTTCATCTATTCACTTGAAAAGTTATTTCAATCTGTGCTGATGCGTCTCCCGTGGTTATTCATTCTTTGTTGTTTTCTCAGTTGGGCAATGCTGTTGAACTGGCCTGCTACATTTTCTATCTTGGTGAGGTATCTGAGGGTGTTCAGAAAGGTCTTGAGTGAAAAGTGACACAGTAATATTGATAATAAATCTATTATTTCTTCTATTCATATTGCATAGTTAATAAGTGTTTTATGTTGGAATTCTTTAACATATGCAGAGAAAGCTATGGTTGTTTTGATCCTTGCATTTTTTAGACAGGACTATGTAAAGATATACACAAAGGTCAGGGAAAAGGCATAGATATTGCAAAGACAATTAGACATTCCTTGTCAAGATGTAGACGAGTATGAGTGCCCACCATATAGGCATCTGAACTGCAGTGAACGGATAATGTGTGATTATCACCGTTACCCCCACAAACATTGCGCATATTGAAAAGTGTGTGCTCTGTATGGGTGAAAAGCCACAAGTAACTGGGAGATATTCCAGAACTTTAGAAACTATTTCTAAAGCTAATAAGCATTGTATTCCAGTATTCTAAATATTGTTAAGATAACTTAGTGTCATTTATATGTAAGGGTTATGTTTTGTCTAATTATAGTTATGTTTGTGTCATTTCATATAATCTTTTATATATAATCATATAGCACATATATATATATATATTTGTGGATACGTTTTTGTAAACCAGTAACTATATCAGTGATGTAAGCATTGGCTGATAAGAGAGATGGAGACAATGAGTTGGATGATAAATTTTGTTACAAGTAACAAAATTTTTTAAAGAGGGAGGAGTGAAGCAACTAGAAGATTTTCGAGGAAATTTTACAATTGCTTCAGGGTTTTATTAGTTGAAAATACATAAAACAGAATTTAAAAGATTTAACAGTTCTTTAAGTGTAAGTAAGTAATCAAGGATATATAAAAAGAGGCATCAAGAAGATGCCTGTGTTGTGAAATAAGCTTGTGAAAGGAGCTTGAGAACTAATAAACAAGGTCAGAAGCCTAGTTACGTAAGAAACATTGCCTAGAAACAAGATGAGTGCACTAGTACTTGTGACAGGTTGATGGATTACTGACCTCAACCCTTTAGAACTAAGAAAGCTATGAAAAAGTTTGGTTTAGTGAGTAATATCGGCACTTTGAGGCAATATCACTTATAGAACATGGGTGTAGCAGTACAAGTGAATAGGTGGCCGGCTAACACCACTTATCTATAACCAATTACTTGAGAGTTTTGGTTATGGTTTTGGATTAGCCCAGGAATTCCTCTAAAGTATCTAATAGGAGCACAGGACTACTTATGGGTGATGCTGTGTCCTATTTAGTGAGTCGAGATAACACCAAGAAAAGTTAGTTTAAAAATCTATGTCAGAGACTGAAAAATCAGTTCTCCCAGAAAGTTCCTCCAGAGCTGAAGAATTTCTGAACAATAAAGGTACCGAATGTGACTAAGACTCCCAACAACAATCCAACTCTACTGTAAGTATAATCTTTCTCTCTTAATCAGCTAGTGTTAAAAATATAGGAAATAATAAATGTATCTAAGTAAAAGGGTTTAATACAAGTATATAAGTAGTAATCCAATATAACTAATGTTCAGAGTTTGTAATGTATTGAGAAGTTGTTAAATAAATGTTATTCTAAGTGTTCACCATTGGCCTGAGACCCTGTTTCTTTAGCCTAACTGTAAATTACCTCGAGTTAGCGACTTTTGGCTCCACTGGTCAGACAAATCCTCCAACAAATAAATTTGGTGTAAGGAGTAGTTTTAATTGAAACTCCAACAGTTAAGCCCACCAGGGCGCTACTCATTACATTACTGACTGACTGACAGGTATAAAACAGGTGACCCCTCCAGGTGGTCTTCGGCTCCCTTTCTGGGGGAAATAAAAGTCCTGAGTTACAGCTTTTGAGTAGATTGTTTATTTTTATTTTTTATTTAACTTTATTAGACGATAGTTACCTGATGATGGCCACACGAGTGGTCGAAACGTTGTAATAACGTTAAACAAAAATAAACAATCCACTCAAAAGCTGTATCTCTGGACTTTCATTTGTTTCCATTTTGTTTTGGCAGCTTAGAACCACTTTGAATTCTATATACTTCTGCAGGTTATATACCAAAACACTTATTACAATGTGTAATTCTATCTTTAGTTTATTATTCAAGAGTCAACTTATGTAAAATATCATTCTAGGTGTACGTCACAATTTAGTTTTTCTACCCAAGAAGTGAAAACATATGTTGAGCATTCCACCCCCGGCGCTTTTATGAACATGTTCCATAATGAACTCGCCCAGGCTATAGAGCATAGTGAGCGTTCATTTTGTATATATTTCGAAACAGCAGCTGTTTGTCTTTACAAGGATTTCTATAGATAGACATTGACTAACTATAGTACACTATAGTTCGTAAATCATACATTTCAAAGAAATAGGAAAAGTGTTGTTTAACAAAAATCGGAAATTTAAGAAAAATGCTTTGGAAATATAGCTGAATATCAGTCTCACAAAAATAGCAGAATGAATCCAAGTGTTACTTGGTGCTGATATTTATTTAATTAATTTCATATTTTTGATATTTGCATTATTTTATGTTTTGTTTTTAGAGCTCTTAAGCATGGGGACAACTGGATTTTGGATAGTTCTGTTATGCACATTTACCATTACTTCAACAAGTCTGGGCGCTTCTTCAAACAATCGAGATATCTCGGCTAAATACGTTAGTGGTGATAACCCTGATGAAGCCGAAGGATTCGAATTCTTACAAACGTATGATAAGCGGGCTTCGCAAGAGTGTTACTTAAGTGTTTTATCGAACTGGGCCTACGCCACTAATCTCACTGAAGAAAACAAACAAAACTTGGTAAGTAGATCGAGAACTAAAAATTGAAAATTTCCATTTCCATATGATCTTTCTTCAACTTTGAATAATGGCTGTGATTTGAATACAAGTTATCGAATAACCATGTTATCCCATAAATATTCAGAAGGCATGTCAATAGTATATAATATAACCATCTTTATATTTCACAGTATAGCATTAAGAAATTGAAATAGGGGTGGTTAGTTTATTTCTGTATACATTATTAACATAGCAAATATAATATTTCGTTTTTGAACACTATTTTTAATTTCACTTGGTCGTTGGAACTACTGTTATTCTCGATATGTGATTTGTGATTAATTTCTAGAAAAAAGAAAATGCCCCATCCTTGTACTTGTAGACTCATTTCTGGTATCTGATCCGAAGACTGCGTGAAGTATTCATTGTGTCCTAGCAGAGAGAGAAATTTTGATTGTTATTAACATTCACTTTTTGTTTTTAAGATTAGGAACATTTCATCTGGTTAAGGGTTAACGGTCTTTCAACTATTTCTTAAACTAATCGATTTGCTTTAAGCAAGTGTAACGTTTCTAGGACTAGGTCATTTTTATTAACTTTACTTCAGCTTGCTATAATTATGAGGAAATGTTTTTCAAAAATATTTTCCAATTATTCCGCATTGTGTAATTGCATGTATACATACATACAATGTTGTTTTATAGAAGTTCGTCTTATCTAACCTATTGCAATAGTTGCTGATAGTGTAACTGTTTCATACTGAAACATCCTCCCAAAAAGAACGTCTGATAAAGAAAAAAAATACAGAAAACTAGACTAGTTCAAACTAAAAGCATTTGAGAATGATACTTATATTCAGTAATGTAACGAAAAGTCGAACAAGGAAGTGATCAAAGCAGGTTATCCTAGTTTAACAACTAAAAAGAAAATGCATAAGTAAGACACCTTATTTAGAGCATGAAAACTAAAGAATCTGTTGCACAAGACCGGAATTCATTTGTTACATCAAACACAAGCACTGTTTAATGCCCTACTTGTGTCTTGTAAATAACTTAGATTCTTTTGCTTAGTTGTTTTGTATGCTGTGCATGTTTCTTGACTTGGATATTTTCATCTTAACATAATTTAAGTCAAGTAATGGTTCTTTTCTTGTATTTGGTTAGAGTAATGAACAACCTTACATTTTCTTTAAGCTATCTGTAATAGTTAATCGCTTGAAGATGCAGTTCACTTGTATGATAACAGGTTGCTTATTTTTTCTTTTCACATGCAATGATCTACATAACTGTTGCACGTGTACCAGCACAAAATAGTCGCCCCTAACTTGGTATTTAGATTTATCATTCACATTAAACATTCAGCATACAAACCGATCAAAATGAAGTTAAAAATCTTTAAGATGAATCTATGTAGTAATTTTTCTTGGCTAAATCAATGTTTATTAAGCAATGCTTTTGTTCTCTTGTGGATATGTTTAAAGAAACTTGAATATGCTTATATGAATAAGCTGCCATCTCTTTATGAACTTCTTAAAAGGTTTTATACTGTCAGCTTATGAAGTATAAACCACGTTTTGGATGATGGCATAGTAGAGAAATAAAACAGTAAGGTTTCATACTGTCAGCTTATGAAGCATAAACCACGTTTTGGATGATGGCATAGTAGAGAAACAAAACAGTAAAGTTTTATACTGTCAGCTTATGAAGCATAAACCACGTTTTGGATGATGGCATAGTAGAGAAACAAAACAGTAAAGTTTTATACTGTCAGCTTATGAATCATAAACCACGTTTTGGATGATGGCATAGTAGAGACACAAAACAGTAAGGTTTTATACTGTCAGCTTATGAAGTATAAACCACGTTTTGGATGATGGCATAGTAGAGACACAAAAGAGTAAGGTGTTATACTGTCAGCTTATGAAGTATAAACCACGTTTTGGATGATGGCATAGTAGAGGAACAAAACAGTAACGTTTCATACTGTCAGCTTATGAAGTATAAACCACGTTTTGGATGATGGCATAGTAGAGGAACAAAACAGTAAGGTTTTATACTGTCAGCTTATGAAGTATAAACCACGTTTTGGATGATGGCATAGTAGAGAAACAAAACAGTAAGGTTTTATACTGTCAGCTTATGAAGTATAAACCGCGTTTTGGATGATAGCATAATGGAGAAACAAAACAGTTTTCAGTTTCTATTTAAAAACCTTCCTCTGTTTCATATTTTTGTATTGGAAAAAATCAGCAGAGATACAGGAAATATCAAACCTTTTGTTTCCTACATAATCATGACTAATACATACAGGTGTTTGATATAGTGTTTGTAAAGCCATGTCAGAAACATTTGATTGAACTAGTTATTTAAAACATTCCGAAATACCTGAAACCCTACAACTAGTCGAGTGAGCGCCAGCTGTTTTTTCGGTACGTCATTCATATGATCTTTCTACATACAAAAACAGATGTTTTAGTTCACGTGGCTTGCTTTTTCTTTTATGCACGTAAACCTATTTTTCTAAAGTTTCGTCCAGATTAATTTGAACAGATGTGGCTTTAGTTTATTTGACTGGATTTTATGCCGTAAATATGTGTGTGTGTTTGCATTTAGATTTTTTTCTCTCTAAGTTTACTTTAGGTGGAGGTTTTCAATATTTCTTCAAAAAGAAAAAAAAAATCTAAAACAAATAGTATCTATACTGCAGAAAAAAACGTACGAAACAGTTGATTCGAAGTTAAACATGTGATAACATATTATGTTACTGACCTTTAAATCATTACAAAATAACCAGGCATGATGAGAGAAACGGATGTGGGGATGCTGACAGTGTGCGAGCTTGGAAAGACAAAAAAAAAAAACTGCAACAGATAAAAACCCAAAGTTTTATTGCAACAGTTGTATGGACTGTTGGTATAAACACAAGGTAATTGAATTTAGTTAGCAAAACAGATGAAATACTAGACGTACTTCCATAGGGTCTCCGAAAGTGTTGTTTCAAGAGTAAATAAAAACAAAATTAAGAGTAACATATTTTTATTTCTTGCTTTTCAAGTTCATATGTCATGCTGGTTTGTAGCCTACATAATTCTTCTCTTGATTCATAGCATGCGCACGTTTTACTGACGTCACGACAGTACAAATTGCAACTTTAAGCGTCCCTTGTGTGACGTCAATTTAGTGTCGACTCACCTGACTGACATACAACACACTGCTATATAGTGATGGGAGTGGTTAGAACAGTTCACCCCTCCAGGCGGCTTTCGGCTCCCTTTTGGGAAATTAATGTCAAATTGATATTACACTGTAGACAACAGAAGCATAACAAAAGACTAAAAGTAAAACTTCTTTGTCCAAGAATAAAAATAGGATTCATTAACTTTAAAACACTCTCCTCCAATTCGAAAATTTATTCTCGAACAGTTCATAACAAATAATAATAGAAAAGTTACTTTTACAAACGGTCCATTCTATCACTTTTAGCAATATAGGGCGAATACCAATCGGGTTAAGCTTCTAATGGCATTCAAAGAATGGGTGTAACGCAAGTGTGCCCTTTCTCCCTCGTCTACGCCTGGCAACTGAGGGAAATACGGGTAATGTAGATCACCCATGAGATATTGAAATGAATCACTGTTTAACTGTGCCTACAGTAAAGCTATAACACTATGAAAACGCTTACAAGTCTGCCACATGTTTACTGGTTATATGAATTAAGCGAATTCATATGAACTTCCAGTAATACAAAGCTACCCACTTAGACCAAGAATTGAAATTCACTTTGTAATAAGTATGGTTAATTACATAGTGAACCAATATTTTTCCCCCATCCTGGTTCGGCTCCTGTTCCGAATGCCTTATTTCGTTCCATTCTGGTTTGAACGAAATAAAATCGGTTAATACCGGCTCGTTTTTTTTTTATACTCAAGTGGTACTGCATTCGTTTTCATATTTGATTGAATAACACTGCAAAAGAGCATGAGTACAATAAACTTCAAATAACTCCTCGTTCCGAGAGGAAACATATGGCAATATCCGATAAATACACTTACTTCCTGTCTA